GCACCACAAGCACTACGTGAAGCAGCACCACAAGCACTACGTGAAGCAGCACCACAAGCAGCACGTGCAGCAGCAGCAGCACGTGCAGCAGCAGCAGCACGTGCAGCAACAGCAGCAGGTGCAGCAGCAGCAGCAGCAGCAGCAGGAGGAGGGGGATGCATTACCGCATTCAACTCCTTGTCCGTTGAGGCCTGAGATGAGGACTTTAAGCTGCACCAATTTACTCATCGCTTCCATTCCAAAGGTGCCAATCTGACGGCTGTACAGATCGGTGTCGATGTGCGGAGGTGTGCTGCTGCTACTGCTGCTGCTGCTGCTGCTGCTGCAGCTGCCGCTGCTGCTGCTGCTACTGCTGCTGTCGCCCCGTTGACTCCCCATTTTCTGCGTACAAATGACGGCAGATATATCGCGAGATATAATAAAAAGAAAGCGGAATCAAAGTCTACACGAAGTACAGACAGCAGAAGCAACACAACCGGGTGCAGCAGCTGCAGCAGCTGCTGCTGCAGCAGCAGAAGCAGCAGCAGCGCGCGAAGGCAGTCGTGAGGATTCTCTGCATGGGTTATTATGCGCCCGAGAACTTGGGGTGTATGTACAGTATGCATGAGGAAGAAGAGGAAGGGTTCAGCAGCAACCAACGAAGACGCTATCTTTGCTGCTGTCTTTGCTGCGTCTCCCTCCGTCTCTGTCTGTTAGCTGATGCTGTCTGAGGCTTTTGTGTATAATTAGACAAACCTTTTTCGTTGTTTAGAGGCCTTTATAAACCCCAGCCACCCGAAGCGGCTGTATCTGTCTGCTGCACAACAAAGAGCGGAGGAGGAGAAGAAAGAAGATAACAAACCCTGAGAGAATTCCTCGCTTAAGAGCACCAACTCCTCAGCTATAGACGCATTCAAAAGAAAAGAAACAAAAACAAACACGCAACACTGCACGCTTATCAACAGCGACAGAAGAAGAGGCCTCCAGCCAGCCCCACTGCTCTCTTCTGTGCTGAGTTGCAACACATGGATACCTGCAGCTCTCGGGTGTATATGCAGGTAAATTAAAAAGAAAAATATACTTCTGTCTTCTAAAAATCCAATGAATCCAATCAAGAGCAGCTACAAAACAATAAGAAAAGTGCTACTTCTGCATTTCGAAATGGATAAGCGCCGCCGCTGTACATAACGCGCGGAGAGGAAACCCCCCTTAACCAGGTTCATTTGTTTGGTTTTTTAATGCGATTTCATGCAATAAAGTAAAATATATCAGAATATTAAACTTTAAAGAGGCAACGGTGGCTTTTTTGAAAATTCATTCTGAAATACAGAAACCACACTAGAAGAAACCTGGAGCCGCATCGGCCGGCGCGAGTTCTTCCGTTGGTTATAAAAGAAGCGTCTCGTCTTTAAAAGATAATTGAAGTATAAATGCAGCTAATTAAGACAAAACAAATGACAGAAAAGGACCTCCTTATGCATTCATCCTTTCATATATTCAGAACCGTACATATTTAGGTGTACGTACACCCGAAACGGTCATCTACGGGCACGCCCTTCACTGGCGAATTTGCAAAACCGGAAAATGCTGAAAAAATGCAGCATTTGTTTCCTTTTTTTACCGAAACATCAAAGAAGAAAGTATTTCACTCAAGCGGATGTTCTATTTATCTACATTTTCCCTCTTTTTCCTCTCTGTTTCCGGTGGTTCCTCTGCCGAGCCGTTCATTGCTGAGGTGCCTTCGCTAAACCCCAACGCATTTAGTGTTCGTTTCAGCGAAACTACTTCAAAACAAAGTCCTGTATCAGGGTGAGTGGTGTTTTCTCTTCTCCGTTTCCTTATTTAAGATCCTTGTCCATTACTAATACACGTACGCTGCTCCTGCGCCCCAGGTTGTTGCAGGTGCGTGCAGAAGTCCATTACTAATACACGTACGCTGCTCCTGCGCCCCAGGTTGTTGCAGGTGCGTGCAGAAGCTGCAATAGATTTCAGTAGCTGCAAGAACAACACTTTAAAGAATTTGCCTCCGTAGACCCTCATGGCTCTTCTCACTTCGATTTTACCGAAGCCCGGGGAGCCTGGCGGCAAACATTTGGAGGTGTGTCTGCTGGTTTGTGTATCTGTGTATGTGTGTGGTGTTTCCTCTGCTAGCAGTACAAGGATGTGTATTATAACTACTCTTTCTTCTCTCTTCATCTCCTGCATGTTTTTCTTCAGGGGCCTGAAGAGAACGCCTTCAATGTTGCTTTAAACACAGCCTTGCACGAGGTAGGCAAAGTCTTCATAACAAATGTTTTTTAATTGAGTGTAAATAAATACATCTACAAATGCGTATTTGTTTATTTGTTTATTTTGTTCTTGAATATTTATTAGTGTATATATTTGTTGGTTTATTTGCGTATTATCAATATTCAATTACTTAATGCATTTTTTAAAACTCTTTTTCTGTTTTTGCTTAGGCTGAAGGAAAAGTTTCTTCTTCTTTGAAGGACGCCACCAACAACAACAAAATCAACAGCGG